GCCTAGTATGTGAGGTAGCGGGGTGTCTGTGTTCGGGCTGGGCTCCTATTTAGTGGGGCTGTACCCGACCACCCGCCCCAACCAAGTGTTCTCTTTTTCCTTTGGTTTGTGTGTTGTGTTGGCTTATTTTTTGTTCACCATAAAATGCCTTAAGGGCGTGGGCAAACATTATTACCTGAACCGATCTTACAACCTGTTATCGAGTTTTATACTATATGACTCACTGTTTGGTATTTACACAATATGCGAGACCATGTGGTCTCTACATGTTCTATCTTTCGATGTACCCCACCCTTTTTGTTTGAAAATAAAGAATTTAAAAAAAAAAAGAAGAAAATAAAACAAAAATAAATAAGAAATAGTAATAAAAAAAAGACGACGCACGCCAACCCAACCGCACACGACGAACTCCCGCTGCATAATGAAGCATCTGCTGACAGATGCCGGCAAAATAAAAACAATTTGGTGGCGCTGGCGGTGACAGCTGGCTCTGACCAACTGTTTCCTATTGTTGGCACCTGCCAGAGTCTTCTAGCAGGTCCCGGCCAGGTCATCATCACTTGGTATCAGTAAGCGGAGGGGAGACCAGTCACTGGAAGTGACATCATGGCCGGCTCTTCCCAGTTGTTATTATTTAATGACAGATCAGCTTCCCCAGGTCATTTGGGGACGCTGATCTGTCATTACAACTGGGCGGAGCAAGTTGTGAGATTGCGGCTGGCTCCTCCCAGCTGTCATTTGCATGGAGATCGGTCAGCTGCGACCGACCTTGTTCCACGCTTCGGCTGTCACTTCGGCTCAGTTGAGCTGAAGCATATGCCATCTGCTCGGCTGAGCCACTTGGCTGCTGTACGGGCTATAGTTAATAATCTCTGATGCTCGAACCAAAGGGCTCCGGCGGCCGAAGTGAGCCGAAGGATCAGCCAAAGCTACGGCTGGATCCTTCGGCTCATTCGTGAATAACCCCCAAAGTATCTGAAGGTAGACAGGTAAAACATGTGAAAAGTAGCCAAGAGCTCGCCCTGCTGGCTACATAAAAAACACTAAATATTCCTGTGCAATATTTCATATTAACCGGCAAAAATATGTAAAAATTATATACATAGCAGCTGGGAAGGTTAATGGACATGGCATGGGTAATTTTTAGCAGTAATTGTTCTCCAACACATGTGCCGAGCTGATTGATCCACTGGCTTCTTGTATTCCTCCTTGGAATTTTTGTAAGCTATCCCTTCAATAAGTCTCTTAATTATCACTCAAGATTTGGTTGTTCCCACCAGCATTAGAAATCTCCTTCATTTTAAAGAACATAAAAATCTAAGAAGGAGAACGGGACCACCTTGTGATATCTCCAGTAGTGTTGAGATCTTATCAACACAGTCCCCAAAGTAAATAGGAAACTGTTATATAGTTTTCTTTCCAGACCTATGAGTTAAGGTGACACCCCCTGGCAGGTGACACAGGCTCACCTAAGGTGCCGAGTCCAAGCACCAGCTGGTTTTCACAGAAGCTCCTGATGGTGGAGATGGGCATAGTTGCTTGCTGGTACCAAGTTACACCAAGTAGGATCACCCTGCCAAGGGATGAACAAGGACAGGGGGGCTCCAATGAGGAGACAGTAGTCCATAGCAGGGTCAGGATAAGGCAAAGGTCCTGACAGGAGACAACCAGGGAATGGCCGCACGGTCCGCGTCAGCAGCCAGTAGACAAAAACAGGAATGAAAACGTAGTCGGATCCAGGCAGGAGGCTAGCAGAGAGTGGTTGGGTGGTCCAGGTTGGCAACGAGCAGTCAGTAGATAAAGCAGGAGACGAAAGTGTATTCGGGTCCAGGTAGAAGATCAGGGCAGGCAGCCAGCGGAGAATGGTCAGACGGTCCGGGTCAGCAAACAGGAAGCAACAGCATTATTAAAGATCTTTGTACACACAGGAAGTTGGCTTGAAGACACAGCACCAGCCCCTTCCTAAATACCCCTCTGAATCAGAGGTGACACACCCAACATCACTTCAGGGCACTCTGGATGTTCTGGTCTGGATTCTGCGGCCATCATTAGCCATATCAGTCTAGATTTAGAAGTAATGGTAGGGCTCCTGTGAGTACCATCAGAGGTACTGGCGGGTCTTCTGGAAGTCTCAGAGAAGATCTGTAAAATCCAGCAGGGACTCTGCCAGTACCAAAACAGATGGAAACATTGTCATTGGGGGAACTCAAAAAATTAAAGGGCATGGTAATGTGTTACAAACCTTGTTTCTGCATGTAGTTTATAAACAAATATTTATATGGGGCGGCCATTATTTCACATTAAGTATCATTTATAGTTTTCACTTGGTTAGGCTGCACAATCACTGTGCTTACTGCTCTTCACTCACAAAGTAAATCTATCAGGGTTATTCACAAAAGGGTGAAGAGTTTGGTGAAGGCAGGAGAAGTGAACAATCTAGGACAACATAGCGGATTTGGAAAAATTCTCCAATTCAGCTCACTTTCCAGTCCAGCGATGTTGTCCTAGATTGTTCACTTCTCCTGCCTCCTCCAAACTCTTCACCCTTTTGTGAATAACCTCCTATGAGTCAGATTTGATTGAAAACAAATGATTCTGTTTAGGGGTTCATACACAGATCACCACTAGGGGGCCCTTTAAAATCCACAAAATTTGAATATGGAACAGTAACAAAGTAAAAATCCTTGTCCATATTGTCTTTGGAACAATAACTCAACATGTACTTGCTGCAAATATACAATGGTTTCCCTTTAAATCAGGCTTTTGTACATTGTAACCTTACATTAAAAAAAGGGTACAGCGAGCAGCAAGTGCCTGCAACATACTGGTCACAGAGAGGTGCTTTCATTGTGTGCCCATTCTCAGTATTACGCTAATAAGCTGTGGTTACAAGAGTTTCTGAGTAAATCATCCTGACAGCACGGTTGAGTTCATGTCAGTACCACTCTGGAGATGAAGGTATCCATATGAATATAATGAGCTTCACATGTGGAATTCTAATAGTAGACACAGCCAGGGCCATTCAACAAACTCCACTTGTGCCCTTGTAATGAGAAAAGTCCAATAACAATCCTTAGAAAAACATTTCCCCTCAAATACTTCCCGGCCACTCGGACAGAAGAAAAAAGGCTTTTATGGGAAGTAAAGGTTATGTGAAACTGCTGTGAAATGGAGGAGATTACGGGGAGACAAATGAGACTTGTTAGCCTTTGCTGTTTAAAAAAAAAAGGGGCAATTTTAGAATTTTAAAAGGCAGCGCATGAAACGGGCAAATAAAGGTGTCCTGAAGTGAGACGGCGCTAGGCTCGCTTGATGTGAAAAGGCAATTAAGGAGATTACAGAATTAAAGGCTGGTCTCAAAAATGGCTTTGGAGGGTAAGAGAGAGGGATCTGTAGGAAAGTAGGGGGTGAAGGACCACTAAACGAGTTACTTTATGTGAAAAAGCGACGACAAACACAAATGTGTATTGAGAAAGTTTCTTTACCTGTATAGAATAAAAGCTCATGCTCAGGTTGATTTATGTAGAGAAGGGTCACTTTACAAAGTGAATGCTCACCTAGTTTAGTGAATGAGTTGACCTTTGTTCACCTCTGCCATCCAATCATGTGGAGTAAAAATCCTGTTTTTCATTTCCCTTGCATATGATTGGATATTCAAAGTGAACATGGCATCAGCTCATTCACAAAGGTCAGTCAACATGTGTATTCCTAAATGCACAGGATATTACTGGATATTGAGTTCTTATAAGTATATTAATCACTTGCTGACCAGGTGTTTACACCCCCTTCCTGGCCAGGCCATTTCTCAGTATTCAGCGCTGCGGTACTTTGACTGACATTTAATCCGTCATGCAGCGCTGTACTGAAATATATTTTATACCATTTTTTGGGGACACATAGAGTTTACTTTTGGTGGTATTTAATCACCACTGGGGGTTTTATTTTTTACTATATAAAGAAAAAATTACTGAGAATTTTGAAAAAAAAAAAAAAGAATTTCTTCATTATGTTCGGAAACAATGATTATTACCCATATTTCTGGCAAAGCATAAAAGACGGGGTCACATTGGGTAAATAGCCACCAAACATGTCAAGCTCAAAAAAAATTGCAAAAAACTACCATACCCACAGGCGACGCTTTAAAAGCATTTACCGCTCATCAGTTTAGTGTTATCGGTGATTAATGGCCATAGAATTATCGCTCTCACTGCGACGTTCGCGACAATATGTAACAATATGTAGTGCTTGCAGTATTTTTGCAGATCGCACTGGACCGGAAGGCCGGCACTACTGTGCCTGCGTTCTGGGTGTGGACGATCGCACTGCGGGCAGGGGGCGTGGCTCCAGTGCCATTGACTTCAGTGCACCTGAATGCAGGGAGACGACCTGTTTGCATCCCAGAGGCAGAACACACTGGAACGCGGACTTTGTGGTGTGCACCGGCCCTCAGGGTTTTCTCAGCAGTGCTTCTGAGCTCATTCTGTGCTGTATTAGGGCCTGTTCACACGGCGTCCGTTTTCTGTGCTGACCTGATCCGTATGCTCCTGCACTAAAAAGGCATCCCAATGTATCCCTATGTGTTTTATGGGCTACAGTTCTCACGTGAGCAGTCCGTACGACAGAAAAATACTGCATGTCACGTTTTGTACGGTCAGGAAACGGTCCGGAAATGCGCAACGCATCAAAAACGCACTGCACTGCAGCTAACATACCGACATCCCCACTCCAGCAAAACAATCTTTTTTTACTGGAACGCATTAAAAACGCGGCAAAAACACAAAGCACTGCGTCTGCAGATCCGCACCTGATCCGGACCTGAAACTCATGTGAACAGGCCCTTAAGCTACTCTGCATTCCCATTGATTGTATGGGAAGAAAAGCCTTTCTGGTACATACAAATACCGTGTACACAATCCCTATAACAGGGAGGGGGAGTTTACTCCTGTGCGAGTCATTATGCAATGTGTGTAATCTGATTTCTCTTCTGCTCAGATGTAACCTCTTGTGTGTAGCTTGCCATCTGCTGGCTGCATGTGGTGAATATGTAATATCTCTATGTCATAATATAGAAATCTACTGTTTCATTAAAACCTTGTCACATTTACAGCTAATGAACAGTGGCATTTATAGTCCATGGAGCAGTTATATTGGATAAGATGATTGGCCAGATATTTAAAAAGAGAGCTAAGCAGAAATCACAGAGCATCATATAGCAGACAAGGATACCATTGGATCCAGACTCTAATAAATAGTCATCAAATGATTACTGAAGCAGGTTTCAGATCTTGTGTATTATTATTTCTTTTATACCGGGAAAATGTTTGCAAGAAATAGTCTAATTATTGGCTCAGCAGACAGTCATAACCAGATCTGAATGCTCAGGATATTTACTATCCAAGCTAGTTCAAGGTGTACTGGGATATCCAGTCCTTAAAAGGTGTTTTCATTCCACTCCGGGGTCAGATATCTGCAAAATTGGGCCGTTTCTGAGCATTGGCACACAGGTAATTGAATATTTCCACTACTATTCAACTAAGAATTGTGTGTATTCTCCTGAATATCACTGTGACCTTTGGACATATGTTGACTTGAAAGTGCTTGTGACCATTTTGGTGATCCACGTAGAGGGGCAGGTTCTCCTCTATTTGTTTTCAGGGTTGCAGTCAGTAAGGAAGACTCTTAGTCCTGTGGTGCAACTGAAGAACCACCTGTTTCATGGAGCTCCTAAAGACGCCTTGTCACCAACTTCAAACAAATAGCATATAAAAGCACCAAAAAAAAAGGAGTATTTTATACAGGTGAAACTCGGAAAATTAGAATATCGTGCAAAAGTTCATTTATTTCACTAATGCAACTAAGCCGTCTACCAGGAGATTTTGGAGCACTTCATGCTTTCTTCCGCAGACGAGCTCTATGGGGATGCTGACTTCATTTTCGAGCAGGACTTGGCACCTGCCCACACTGCCAAAAATTTTCTGAAATTGTGGATCTGGGTTTTCATGAGCTGCAAGCCATAATCATCACAATTATGACAAATCACGGCTTGAACTATCTTGCTTTGCATGTAATGAGTCTATCTCATATATTAGTTTCACCTTTTAAGTTGCATTAGTGAAATAAATTAACTTTTGCACGATATTCTAATTTTTCGAGTTTCACCTGTATGTTTTCTAAAAGCTTAGTTGTAGTTTCCATAAATTATTTTTTTTAATTAACTTGCAATGTGCTTCTGAACTTGCTGGAAATGTGACTACTCCAGACCTCTCCACTTCTGGGAGTGTCTAGTTACACACTTTGCTGGCAAAGCTCCTCCACAAACCTTCACGGTCCATACATAACCTTTTATGTAGCTGCCAGGGCAGGAGTAAAGCGGGATACCATAGAGCTGGGGTCCTCCAGTTGTTGCAGAACTACAAATCCTGAAAGGCTGTACAAAACTCTGACAACCACAAGAAAGACTCCCAGAGTCAGATGCATAATGAGAGTTGTAGTTTGACCACAGTTGGAGAGTCGGAGTTTGCCTACCCCTGCTACAGTGTCACTAAAATGACAGCTCTGAATCTACTGGGGCTG